AGATCTGTGTAAGAGAGTTGCAATACGTCAGGAGGTGCAGTTGGTGGAGGTGCAGGATAAGGAGTACTGCCTCCTTAAAAATCTCCAGCCCCCCTCACCAGGCTAAAATAGAACTCCAGTTAGATGAGGCAATCATGGAGGCATTGAAGGAGATTTGGCAGACCCCTGCCTCTGCCCTACCGACAAACAGAAGAGTGGACAAGAAGTACTTTGTCCCATTGAAAGGGATGGAATATTTATTTACCTATCCCCTGCCCAATTTTTTAGTCAGAGACTCTGCGCAACACCGGTCCAAGGCTCCTCAGTATAAAAATGCTACAACTGAGAGAGATAGCAAAAGAATGGATATATTTGGGAGGAAAGTGTACTCTTCAGCGACACTGCTACTCCTTATTGCCAGTTACGTGGCACTTCTGTCGAATCACAATTTCGACAATTATACAAAACTGACAATGCTGACAAGTTGTTAATATGTGGATTGTTGTAAAGAGGCACCCTCTGTATATACAACAAAGAAGAGATATGTTTTGTTCTGATATTTTGCTGTTTATGAAACTGTAATGAGGTATACCAGCTACCTGTTTTAATATTACTAGACATAGTATTCTTATTGAGTTCTGTTTGATTAAAAATTGGATACTTTATTTGTTTTGAAGGTTAGATGCTTGAGAGCAATGTAAGTCTAGAATGCTACTTCATCATATACTATTTCCTAGACTTACCTGTGTTGAAGCTCTGGGAGAGAGCTGAAAGTTTCAGACATATTTTCAAATGCATAGGACACAACATCTAGTTCAGTGGTTCCCAACCTATGTTCCACAGACTGCTGGTGATCTGTGATGGTACTGTACAGGGTCCACAGAAAGTTTAAAATAGAAATTAAAATAAATGTACAGTGTATAAAAGTATTTACACATTTTAACATGTGTGTATATTGTGTAATATATTAAATACTTAGTTTTGTGATCATGTTATGTGAATGTTACTCTGGTCTAACCATTCAAAAGCTATTAGAGTGGTAGGAAGGGTTGATTTGGGCTAGGAAAAATGTATTTGTAGATTAAGACAGAGACTGAAAAGAAAGGAACCGGGAGACTATTGTGGAACGTCAAGTTCCACTTCAAAACACAAAGTAAATGGAAAACATGAAAATAAAGTGATGTATACTTGAAGTTATGGTTTATATGGACTGGCAGTGAATCTGAGCCATATCTATTATGCTTACCCGGTAAGGTGGTACTGTCAAATGAGAACTTAAAACCAACTAATCTTCAGTGTCACATTGAAATGAAACATGGTGAATATGTTTCTAAGCCAATTGAATTTTTTGAGAACAAACTTAAAGAATTTAAGGAAAGTAAGAAATTAATCCATTAGGGTATGTCTACACTACCCTCCTAGTTCGAACTAGCGGGGTAATGTAGGCATACCACACTTGCAAATGAAGCCCGGGATTTGAATTTCCCCGGGCTTCATTTGCATAACCGGGAGCCGCCATTTTTAAAACCCCGCTGGTTCGAACCCCGTGCAGCGCGGCTACACGGGGCTCGAACTAGGTAGTTCGAACTAGGCTTCCTATTCCAAACTACCGGTACACCTCAAACTACCTA